ATGTAAAGTGGTACACCAAAAACCTTCTTTAAGAAACCCCCTTTGCTTTACTTGATAGCACGCTGCCACCTTTGCAGCAGTTTATATGGAAGATGCTGTAATTTCTGTAAACACTTGCAAACTACTCACCAACTGTTAGTGAAACTAAGAGTGACGAAAATGAGAAATTGAGAACAGTCAGAGTAAAAGTTAGGGTTAGGGTTAGGGCTAACCCTAACCCAATTTATACTGCACTTGTTCCACTTTAACTAAAGCTTGTGGCATAAATGACAACTCTTTGTAGAAAAGTCTGTGTCTTCCATGCAAACTGCAGGTGACCAAAGCTATCACAAGCAGATTCTTGGTGTAGCTGATTTCACCCGGCAATAGCAGCAACAATTTGCCAGCAACATTTTTCCCTGGTGACCAGAGGTTGTCAGGGGGTCGACCAACCTCTAGGTCTATGTGACTGACACCTTAGCTAAGTCCTAAGAAAGGAAACTTTTGCTTATTACACAGCAGTAAGCTCTGTCAGCTCATGGCAAGGAAGTTCTGTGCTTGTGCTTATAAATTAAGATGAAGAATTTCCTGAGGGAACCTCTCATCTCCTCTTATCTAACCAGGTATTTGCATGTCAAATATTAGTCTTAGACATACATGGTATTCCATATAATTTAGTATACTTACAGTAAGAATTTCACAGTTCAGTGTGACAGTATATCCCTCGATGCTCAGTAAAAGCAGCATTAGCAGAAAGACAAAGTGAACACATAACTGTGTGACATACTGAAAGTATGACAGTAATATTTGTAACTTATGTTCAAGTGTTTATGTGCTTTATTCAGTTTATCTGTAGACAAAGGTATATGAGTGATATATGAGTGATATATGAGTGGCAGCTCTTAATGCCAAGTCATTTTTGAGTTTTATTGTATGAGTTGTAGAGTCCAAGGAAATCTTTGCTCTGACCAACAACTGTCTGTTGCAAGTCTCCTATACTTTTAGCAGTGCAGTGATAAACAGCTGGTTTGCTGGCAACTTGATATTGTTGCCAGCAAAAAGTGATATTGTTCTTGTGATATTTTTCTATATGACTGACTGTAAATCATGCCGTTCGAGCAACCTACAACATAGGAGATGAGAGAGTAAAACCATTAGTGGTGTTTTAAAAACATATTGGAGCCGGTGGTCTGACAGATGTTGTACAGTGTATGACCCAAATCCAACTAAAGAATCAAATTGCTTTTTTTTTTTTAAATGTTTTTAAAAAGTGTAAAGTTTTGGGTTGAGTCCCCCTTAAAACTCCTCCTGATCCTTAGCTTTTCACACATCTCCAGCATCCCTTCACATACTGAGAGAGCCCAGCCTACCTTCCTCATAGCCCCAGTCCAGCTCATCTTTCCCGGGGGTATAATCCGACTCCTCATTCACATTGTCAGCCATGGTGCTTTGCAGTCTACTCCCTGTGGCTAGAAACCAGTCTGTCCTCCCACTCACGGCTCCCCGTCACTCTGGTTTTAACTGGTTTTGGACACAAACTGAAGTCTGCTGGATGGATTCCCAGCTCAACAACAACTCCCTCTTTTCTTTGATGCAGTTTCTCTTTTCTTTCTTTTTTCTGTCTGTCTCTTCTTAACCCACTTTCTCACTCTCTCTTGCTCTCGTCCTCCTAAAGAGACAAGCTGATGATGTGTGCAGACTGTTCTGCCTCTCTGAGCAGCTCTTTACTCTGTGTTGCTCCACCTCTTTTCTCTCGCTACTTTGCTCTACTGTTATCTCTCTCTCTTCCTCTCTCTCTCTCTTCCTTTCTGTGTCTCTGCAGGTGTGCTTGCTCACCCTGGCATAAAATGTCAGAACAGTGTTTCTTTTTCATCTCCCTGCCCTGTATGCTCCCCGTGTTCAGAGGTGAAAATAAACTGTAAAGCATATCGGCTTTAATTATTTTTTCTTTCTTGATTTATTTGTTATGATCTTTTACCCTTTCTGCTGTTTTCAGAACCACAGTGGTTGTGTGTATGTGTGTGTGCTGGAATGCTGGCAGGAAGGTCGTGCTGGCGTTTCTGTTGGAGGTCACAGATACACCCTTGGGTGAAGGAAACAGCAGTGGTTGGGAAAACATGCAAAAAGTAGTATGAGGGTGAAAGTGAAAGGCCAACTCTACTTCAGACTTGATGACTTCAAGATGGACAAAGAAAATGGCTCTCAAACACCCACAGAAGCCTTTGGCTACAACTTCATGGCCTATCACAAATGAGTTTGAACACTGAACAGCGCTTTATATTTCACCCTGTTATACATTCTTTAATTACCAGTTGTTGTCATTTGTAAGTTAACTATATATTTTTCAATTTTACTGTATTTTGGGAGGTGGAGTCTCAAATGGGACAAATAATTCATAGTATTGACATTTTTTCCTTCGTTCATTCCCTCCTTTCCTAATCCATATCCTCCAGGCTGCTCTCGTTAATTACCCTACATTCTTTATCAGGAAACTGTCCTTGGAAACTGTCCTCGGAGCAAGCTAAATGAAGAAGAGCTCCCTTGATGTGCAGGAGCATCAGCATTTAAAGAACAGCCAACCGGAGTGTCCTTCCCATCTGAAATTCCCAAAGTTACCAAATCATGGGATTTGCTAGATTTTCCAAGAGCCAAGAGGAAGTGCAGAAGTCTAATTTGCACTCAAATTTTTAAATTACACAACATATCCTTTTACTTAAGTAACAGAACAGGTTGTTACCCTCTGATTCCCAAAAAAACTTATAGGAGTTCCTGCTGAAGTGACATATGAGCGTTCTTAAATTGTAATAGTATCACCCAGGAAGAGCAACTGAATCCCTGTTTGGAGACGGAACGTGTGGTGGTTGTGTAATCAAACACAAAACCTTAAGCTATGAGCGGAGGGGTTTTTTTTTAGGTAGGAACACTGTTGCATACTACTTTGAGTTTTGTTTCCTTTACCTTTTATTAATAATTAAAGCAGTCAGTGGCTGCATGCCTTCCACCGCCTTGTAAGTCGGGAGATGAAGAACCCCTCTGATATATTCTACTTCAGATGAAAAGAAATGACGACAGACTAATCGAATGTAGAAATTTCATAGATTATAATCTATGTGATTACCGAACAAGTTTTAATCTCTATTCACCTTTGTGCTGCTAAAGGTTTTAACAAAACTTTGATCTTGTTGTGCTTTACAAAGTTTTACCAAAAGAATTCAGTCACTTTCTTGCGGTGATACTCAAATACAATGAAACTGCTGAGATATTACTCAAAACCAGCAGAATTTAGCCTATAATTATTCTATTTAATACTGGCATTTCAATCAACCTGATGGACTTACCTAGTGACACCTATTCACATCTCTATTGTATGTTCTTTATCAATGCCAATGTCTTCTCCTGTCCAGAGTGATTTCCTCCTGTTGTTTTCTGCCATCAAACACATCACATTCTGTCAGATTACTTTGCTCTGTTAGTTACTACAGCTCAGCATGTCAATAATGAGTATTTAATTAGCTGTTTGGAAAAAAATTTTCATGCTTTGCATTTACCTGCTTGCTTGCTGCCACCAAGTGGCATTGTGTTATATTTACCCACACAGCAAAGAAGATAGAGAGCCTTGGATCTTTTTTCTTTTTCTTTTCTCAGTTTTGCAAGTGTCATCATAGCTGTATCAAAAAA